GTATCTGCTCAAATCAGGTATTCCCGAGTGCGATTAATGTTAATATTCCAATGAAACACTTAACTATTAAATAGCTAGCTTTGTAACTAGTAATTGAAAAACAGGAGCTAGAGGAAATTGACTTCAACGAAATTAAATTTGAGTAGCTTGTCCGTTTTCTTAATAAAACAACAAATTAATAAGGTTTGGGATGGATGTACATAAGTCTTTGGACTTTAAAAGTTGTTTAAGAAAATTTTGGACTTCACATCTCGTATATATCATATGAAGGGTAGTTTGAGTTTTTCTAATCACACGACAAAAGACTTGATTGAAATTTACTTATTTGAGAAAGAGGTTTTTTCGAACAGTAGTGAAATACAACAACAAAAATTTATTTTATATATTATTTTTAATTAATTGAATTTTTGGCTGACCATACTGCTGTTTCGAGTATTGCCAAATACCCATCATCAGTGGTCTTGGAAATAATTCTTGTATTTAATTATTCGTAAATAATTATTTTTTGAGACTGCAAGTACCAGGAATCGAACTCGGGTCCTGCCAAATGTGAAGCTCAGAATCAGCGCACTTTAACCAACTGATCCAAACTGATAATTAAAATTATTTAGAAAATATGCTCTCCAAATAAAGTAAAAATAACAATATGATAATATATTTCAATATAATTATCTTGCAAGATATATAGAAAAGAGAAAAGAGTGGAACGCAGTAGGCTTTGACGAAAGTTGTGTCAGATGGAAAACAGTTGAAGAAACATAAACTATAACATTATAAAATGAAATTAACCTAAAACTAATAACAATTGAGTGTACAATTTTAGAATTAACTTAGCTCTTCTTATACTTGTATATGTACTTGCTTTACCTAATAATACTATACTATGTAATATGAGATATTACAATGGTGTAAATTTAAAAGTGATTCTTTCGACTAATAATAGTCGAAAATAGTAAAAAGTATATAGAAGGTAGGTTGAGGGAGTTTAAATATTGAGAGAGATGCAGTGCATTAAGAAAAAGTTAATATTTAATAAATACATTTGTAAAACGCGAGTAGTAAAAAGAACATATCTTGTTAAGAGACTACTTACTATAATAATTTGAATGTTCTATTGTTACTTTATATCAGTCATTTAGACCGTTTACGGTCATTAATATATATGGTATATAATGAGTGTTAAATAAAGGTTTTAGTATTATAAAAAAGTAGCAGTTGTAGTTTTTTTGAGAAATTAAAAAGAGTATTTTTATATTTATATAAGGCTACTCTGCTGTAAGTAGTCGTAATAAGAAGGCTGAGAGCAATCGTCTCATAGAAATCTGTAAATGTATGGAAGGATAATTTTGCATCTATATATGGCATCCAAATAATGATGATCAGAATATTTTTATGTCATCCTATTTATGAAACAGTTTTAGTGAGTTGTTGTTAATGATTAAAACTATTGACATAAATAAATATTCAGTAATAATTATTAAAAAAGTAATGGAATACATGACTACTGATTTGTGTTGATAATTATACTCGTAATTAATTAAAAATGATCTTCCAGTTTTTTTTAATTATTTCAATTTAATAAAATAAATTAAAAGTTCACTTGACTATTTTATTAACATTAAAATAGAAGATATATTTCAGCTAGTTTCGTACTTTTTAGAGAGGTAACAATATATTTCAATATTTCACTTGTTAAGTACATTAGAAATTTTGAGTTAGTCAAGACAATTTGTCAGTATATAGTCAGTATTCACAGAAATGATGCTTTTTCAGTCAAGATCCCAGCGGTGCTTATATCTACGTTTGTAGGGAATTTTATTTTTGTATTTCTGAATTAGATCGTCATAGTTCGAACGCCTATTACGTTTCTTGTGACACAAAGCAGTACTAGGTTGGTAACCATTAGAGAAGGAATCACTTGAATCACTTTCAGAAGAATCATTTTCAGAACAAGCATTTTGAGATACTGAGTGTTTTCCACTTTTCTTATTATCAACACTAAAAAGAAATGTCCCATATGGTAAAGGCGAATTAGTTTCTATAACATATTTGTAACCATCGCTCATTTCTTTTTTCTTTTGTGGTAAAATCACAATAGCTTTACGTTGTTGTTCTTTTATTTTGACTTCTTTCTTTCGTTTATCAGGTATTGAGCTATTGCAAGATTCATTATCAGTATGCATTTCTTTTTTAAGCCGTCTAATTTTCTTTCTAGCTTTTCCCTTTTGTCTTGCTGGTAGCCCTGATAATTTCATTCTATACTTTTTTCCAACTTTATTACGTTTGAGACATTTCTTATTTTGTCTATGTTTTAGCTTTTCAATTCCTATACGTTCATGAAGACGACCATCGATATCTACATAACTTTTATCAGAAAATGAATTTTTGTTAGTGTTAACTATAGTTAAAGATTGTTGCATTAGTTTCTTCACCTCCTTTTGTTTTTTTAAAAATGCACGTATATTAGCATTAGTAGAATTGAGCATGCATGCTTTTTTCCGAATTTTAACCAGTTTTGATAATCTCTTTTTACCCACTTTAGCTATTTTATTATACATAAGAGATTTCTTCTTTGGCTTACGTTGAAACTTTACAGCGGTTATTGTATCATGCCTACTAGAATCGGTTTCGCATTTACTGTTCCTATTTGAGTTTTCTGTACGCCTCTGTGTAGTTGATGACTGTTCCATGAGTTTCTTCACCTCTTTTTGTTTTTCCAAAAACGCACGTATATTAGCATTAGTAGAACTAAGTATGTAGGGTTTTCTCTGATGAGGGGCCACTTTATTGCGTTGGAGACATTTCTTTTTTTGTTTGGGTTGTAATTTTACATTGGCAAGATAACCAGCACTATTAGAATCAGTGTCCACTTTATCCTTATCTGCTTCAAAATTTTCTGTATTAGCCAGTGCAATCGATGAATTTGGCATTAGTTTCATCACATGTTCTTGTTTTTGAAAGAATGTATGTACAGGAGTGCAAGTGGACTTACTGGATTTCCACTGAAGAGGAGCCTTCTTTAAGCCTTTCTTACGATGTGTATTACTAGCCTTTAATAAGAAAGAATTTTTATTACACTTTTTTGTGAAGTATTTATTCCTGCAGTTGTACTGATACTTACATTGTCTGAATTTTTAATTTCACCGAAGTTCAGTGTGGTTTGATTTCCTGGCATACCAAAATATTGCATGCTGTTATTTGGATCAATCACTCCACCACATGTTGGACAAATTTGTGTTCCCGTAACGTTGTTAGGCTGATCTTGCCCATTTTTTTTCATGTTTATTTCCGCCATTATTTTTTGTTATCAAAATTATCTACAACCGTAAAAAAATAAAATTTTTTTTATATGAGATAAACTTTCATTTTATTTATGAGTATAATTTTTTATTTTATTTTTTTTAAAAATCGAAAACAACTAGATTAAATTTTTACTAATCTACAAGTTGATAACTGCTATGCACTTTACTAGTAATAAATTATTTCTTAGATTTCAAAGTAATGGCGATTTCGATTGGTAAATCAGGATTCAATCTAGATTTATTCTCGATCTGTCAAATTTTGTTGCTAAATCGAACATTTTTAGAGTGATCTAACATTTTTGTAGTAGTGCTAGTAGAGATTTATACTTTCCATCAAATTTCTTGTCAAAATTATCTACAAACGTAAAAAAATAAAATTTTTTTTATATGAGATAAACTCATTTTATTTATGAGTATAATTTTTTATTTTATTTTTTTTAAAAATCGAAAACAACTAGATTAAATTTTTACTAATCTACAAGCTGATAACTGCAATGCACTTTACTAGTAATAAATTATTTCTTAGACTTCAAAGTAATGGCGGTTTCGATTGGTAAATCAGGATTCAATCTAGATTTATTCTCGATCTGTCAAATTTTGTTGCTAAATCGAACATTTTTAGAGTGATCTAACATTTTTGTAGTAGTGCTAGTAGAGATTTATACTTTCCATCAAATTTCTTGTCAAAATTATCTACAAACGTAAAAAAATAAAATTTTTTTTATATGAGATAAACTCATTTTATTTATGAGTATAATTTTTTATTTTATTTTTTTTAAAAATCGAAAACAACTAGATTAAATTTTTACTAATCTACAAGCTGATAACTGCAATGCACTTTACTAGTAATAAATTATTTCTTAGATTTCAAAGTAATGGCGGTTTCGATTGGTAAATCAGGATTCAATCTAGATTTATTCTCGATCTGTCAAATTTTGTTTCTAAATCGAACATTTTTAGAGTGATCTAACATTTTTGTAGTAGTGCTAGTAGGGATTTATACTTTCCATGAACTCATATGTATATCGAATCAAATCACACTTTGTCTATTAAATCATGTAAAACAGCTGTTATTTTCAAGGTAATCTTGCTACTCTGGCAAAGTATCTAAAATGTTATAAATAAATTTCGAGTATTATACTTCTGGCCCTAGATTCAGCGATCGAAAATAAATCTATACTATAAGTGTATTAAAGGAGTATCTTGATTAAAAAAATAATCCAGATATACTAATCGAAAAAGCCATCACTAATATAATTAAATAAAATAAGTTCATCGACTTTTTTAGAGTTCTTTTGACATTACTTAAATTCCAATTTTACAAAGTTTTATGTCAGTGTTGAAATCTTTAGTCTACAACAGAACCAACTTTGATTGGTGTGGATCAAATCCAGGTGGTTCGTATTTGACCATTTGATTATATATTCCATATCTTCGATTAGGTATTGTTTTAGATTTGTCGTCACGTCGCACAGTGTGCCAAAACAAAAATTAGCTGATCAAAATTCGAAATTTTCTGAACCAGTAGAGATATTGAAATGAAATTT